TTCTTCAGGTATAGTCGAGATATTCGTATGCTGATTTGAAGTTACAAAAGGACTTGTAGCCAAATTCTTCTGCTGATATGCTGGTGGACTTAATGAAGTACCATTTGGTTCATTACGCATTACTTGTAGCATTACTTCAGCCTATAAATAAAATAATCTTTAAATATTTGCAAATAACACAAAGCTACTAACATATTAATGCCTATAAATTAGTTTATACATTTACATATGTTTGTTATAAAGGAAAAAATCAGATTTATCTTACGAATGCTTACTCTCATCTGTGTTCGGCCACAACCACGTCCTTGTTTGTAGTCTTGGTATTGTGATATCACGCAAAGCAGACAATAGCACTTAATAAGAAAAATAAATTAATTTTATTACAAAAGGTAGAACAAAAACATTTCTTGGTGATTTTGCACAATAAAAATAAAGCAGCATACATTTTTTCAACAATAACAATTAATTATTTTGATTATTTCTATTAATAAAGTGAATTTGTAGACAACTTACATTGAGACACATTATGAAAAAGTCTATGGTAAATAGAAAGCCAACAATTGGGTCGAAAATTACTTTCTCCTTGAATGATAAGTAAATCAAGTGCGCAATTTCAATTAAAACATCGCACAGCATAAAACTTATCCATGGTATTAAAAGTTCACGTTTGTCCTTTATTAAAGAATGTTTGTTAAAATTATGTATATGTATTTAAAATATTTAATTTTATTAAAAATAGCAAGGAAACTCACATTCTTTAAACCTACTAACACTAAAATTGATGAAAATGCCAATAGGAAAGAACAGCCAAAAAATAAAACGTTGAATATCACAGTGGCTGCAAAAAAATTACATATTATATATCAAAAAGTTCATTGTTGTTGTAGTAAAACTTCATAAAATTTAATATACAAGCCAAATAAACAAATTTTTATTTATTTTGTTTTTCTTTGTGTAAATATGCTTTATATAAAAAATATACAAAATTATATTATATGGTAGTCCTTTGTGAAACTATTCATACTCACTTGCCGTTATGTCTCCTTTTTCTAGTATACTTTCCCCAGCGGGTTGGTCTTGTTCGCCAAAAAGATATTCTTTTTCTTCATTCAAATATATGAATAATATTAAAGTAGAAAACCCAAAATATATCTGAAATGTATATGCAAAACAAATTTTATGAAAGTGCAAAATGGTAAATAAATTTATTTATTTTTGTCACATAATTTTAAAGGCAGTGACACATAATTTGACTTTAATAATAAAATATAAACTAAAACTGATATAAAATGATTAATATATTTATGTGAGAATATAAAAAAAATTTATTTATATATTTTTAACAATATATTTAATTATATCTTTATTATAAATAATTTGTTTAAATAAATTGTATGGCAATACTAAAAAAAATTTATTGAAGTCTGTATGCTCATTTTTTAATATAATCTCTTGAAAGCCAAATATACTAATAGATATTTTCAATAAACCAATATCTTTATTAGAACGTGAATGCTTAAGTTTTAATTAAGTTTTAAAAGCAGATAGTCAGTTTAAGTTAAATCTTATGAGCACACAGGATGTATAAGCAAAGTAAACTTAAATTTATTGGATATTCCCTTCGATAAAATAGTAGTTCCATCACTTATGTTAATAAAAAATAATATTGTAATACTGATACGAATACTTTGAAAAGTAATAAAGGTGACTTGTTTAATTTTTCTGAAGATAATTGACCTTCAGGTTCCTTTCTTATGCACGGTCACATATATACTACTAGTATTGTCTATTTTCCCCTAGTGGGGCATAGAGACTCCATAATTCTGCTTAATCTGGCTCTATTTAGTGCTTCTTTGTAGATGTCGTTCCATGTATGTCGTGTTTTGGCTAGCTTACTTTCGACCGTTCATCTCCAAGTTTCCGCTGGCGCACCAGGTCTTCTGCTACCTTTTGAATTCGATGCCAACGCTTGCCTTGCTATATAATCTCTCGGTTGTCTAATCGTATGGCCTATCCACTTACATTTTCTCACTTTTATTTTATTTTGTGCTGCTTTTTGAGCCATTTGGTTCAGTAGGCGTTCATTCGATATTCGATCTGACCACCATATTTTGAGACAAGTGACAAACACTTGCATTTTTTTCTCTGCATGTCTGGGATGGTTTCGTGTTTCACAGCCGCTGTGTTGCTTTTCGAGTTTGTTTTATATACAAGATGTAAATTAATAATTAGCAAATATGAGGAAAATATATAATACTTATTTTGTGTTTGGCTTATATAAAAGCACATGTAAACTTAATAACTAAATATTTATTTGTTTCAAAAATATAATAATATACATTAAACCCCTATTTACACATATCCAAGCCGTGGATATTTTCTTTGGATTTATTTTACATGATTGGCTTATCTTAATTAACTATAAACACTCATAGACCCTAAATGAACAGTATTCATAAAATTAGTAAGTAAAAAAAGAGATGATAGAGAGTGGCCAAAAGTTGGTATTCTACTTTACAGGATTTATAAAAAATCCAGAAGTGGTGATTTTCATGATCACACTTTTAAAAAACAATTTTATGAACTTATATCCGAAGCAAAAAAATATATTTACTGATATTAAATTTTCGAATCAATAATATACCATTTGATTGCTATATATATACAATAAATAAGTACTTAAGAAACCAACTTACAGTACTAAAAAGCAATACTAAGTACTACGCAGACCATCGTTACAAAAATTAAATAGTAAAAAATAACATAAAATATTTTTACAAAGACTTTTACAGAAAATTTCTATACAAATATTTTCAATGTTAAAAGTGCCAGTTAACAGTACTTAAAAAATGAAAGAAATTAACAAAAAAATTTTTGTAAAAAAACTTCTGTTGAAAATGTACAATGTTAAAAATTTACATAAGTTCTCGATAAGTATTTGAACTTCCATTCATCAAAAGTTTGCTTTTTTTTTAAAAGGTGATTTTAAAGTTATTTAATCTGAAGTATGAAAAGTATTTGAATTCATTCCTAAAATTGGTTAACACAAGGAAAAACTTTGCAGTTTTTGCTACTGTTTAAAGTTTTTTCATCAGGAACTTAAATATAACAACAACTGCATAAAATAAGTATGTACAATATTATATGCAGTAAAAAAAAATACTTAAAATAACGTTATTTATTTCTTAATCTTGTATTCTTTAAACTTTATTAAGTATAATCTAAAACTAAACAATAACTTTTTTGTATTAATTGGTGATTATTTATTTATTTTTTTTGAAAACTTGCAAAATTTTCAAACTCGAATTATATATAACTTGGATTATGTTGAAAAAAAAACAAATAATAAAATCCATTTATTTTAAAAAAATAGACATTTAAAATTCGATTATATCTAAAAATACCAAGTGTTTCTATAAAAAATGACAAAGTCCTTTGAACATAATTGACATAATTTACTGGTTAATTATTGAAATGTTGTTATTCTTATATATGCTAAGGCGTATGAAATGACTCTATATAATCTTCCTAAAGATTTTGGTCTGACCAGGTGGTAGTTTGATTCTACAGTTTCTTCTTTTGATTCTACAGTTTCTTCTTTTTCTATGTAAATGCATTTTTTAAGACTTATATTTAAACATTCAATTTTTAGATCAATAAACTGAAATATTTTTAAATAACGTCAATTCTTGTTTGCGTTAGAAATTCTTGTTAATATAAATAATTATTATTTGAAAAAAGCAAATATAAAAAAAGGAATATACACACAATATAACATCACACAGTTTAACAAAGTATTCAATTACTTCAAAAATTTTTATGAAAAAATACCAATATTTTTTACTAGCCTCTTTATTACATAAAGATTTTTTTTTACTCCTACTCCTACTTCATTAATTGCAACTCAAAATTGAAAAGAAAAATATTTCAATTACTTTTTTATGTGTTACAAAAAAATAATGGCTGTATATGAGTATTTTTGGCTACTATATATTTATATGTTGGATATATAATATAGGTATTATTGCAAATAAATGTAGAATAAATTCACTTTTGAGAAAAATTTAATGGAGACAAAGGAAATTTTTTTATTTTGAATATCATATTCAATAGATTGCATTAAGAATAATTATTGATTATATGGAACAAGAATTGTTTGTTTAATCATGGGTAAAATTTTATTAATTATTAATTAATTATTTTAAATAATATAAAAAGAATTTTTTGTTGTTGTTCGAAAAAATCCTCTATATTAAATATACAAGTTTCTATTAAATATAATAGTCACTTTCGTGTGAAAAATTTGATGTTAAACTACAACTTATATTCTCAAAATAATGGTCTCGCTCGTGAGAACCGTGTAGGAACATTAGCATGACTTTTGCAGTATTACGTTCATAGATTAGGTTCTATACATAAGAAAGAATACATGAATCATGTAACAAATAAAACCTTCACAAACAGAATAGTATTGAAATTAAAGAATTAAAAATAAAAATATGAGTAATTAATTTAATTATTCTACAGCTGGTTTATGATTTCGTTCTGATATAAAAACAGCAAGTGAATTTGTTAATAAAACCTTTCACAGCAAAGTCACAAAATTTCAAAAGAATATAAGTCAACTATGGACAGGGTAATTGATCCTCTCTTATAAAATGCTCAGGTTAACGTAATCGTTGTGATAGTTTAGTTTTTCCGGCATTATACAGCCTTAGTTATTTAACACTTCGCTATTTTTCTTCGTTCCGAATATTACAGAAAGATTTTTATTTCGTAAACTAAGGAGCCATATTTTCTTCTTTATATTGGTGTTAACATTTTACAACCTTACAACCTTGTTCAGATCACTTTTGCGCGACATCGGGTTAGATTTCAATATATAGTAATGTGAAATGAATCAAGGTATTGCTATTAATCAACACTGCATACATGTATAATCTACAATTTTTATATAATGTAACCTAAGATTTCTTTCACTTATTTAAAATTCCATATATTTCAAATAACTCATGATCTTCCTTTCAGTTGGTTAAGGAGCGCTGACACTGAGCTTCAAATTTGGCAGGGCACAAGTGCGATTCCTGGTACTTGCAGTCTCAAAAAATTATTTACGAATAATTAAATACAGAAATATAACCAAAACTTCTGATGATGGGTATTTGGCAATACTCGAAACAGCTCACCCAAAATTTCAATTAATTAAAATATTATAAAATGAATTTTTACTGTTGTAGTTCAGTACTGTTCTAAAAAAGCTCTTTATAAGCATATAAGAAATCAATATAGATCATTGAAAAATAAATGCATTTATGTTTTTCAAAAAATAATTGTCAAAAATTATTAAATATTTTTGTTTAATAAATCATATTCATTTGATTTAACATAACGAATTTTTCGATTTAATTTTTGTATAAATAACATTTGTTGTAATTAATGTTTAATTAATTTTTTGCTTAATATATATTTTATTATGACGTTCGTTCATCAATTTTATTATTTTAATTTATTTTTTAAAATACCTGTAATTTGATATAATTAAAAATTGAATGGTATTTGAGAGAATCTACTCACATTATAAAATTAGAAATTTTATAGTTTTAATTAAAAATTGTTCAATACACTCAACTAAAATGTAAAATCATATGATTTTATATAAAAAATACTGAAATTACCAAACACTTGTAAATTTATTCACTTCAATATGTAAAATTATTTTAAAAAAATTTCAATTTTACGCAACTGCAAAACTAAAAAAAGCGGATTGTATATTATTAATATTAAACAACAAAGGCAATACAAGTACCTTTATGGTTTTTATAAAAAATGTTGATTAGTTTTATGTCACATCACCCTAACAACATTAGTTGAATTTTTTAATCAATGAAAGATATTTTAATAAATTGTAGTTTTGTTTTTGTATTTTATTAAAGGACGAAAACTTGATTCATTTTAAAATGAAGTGTTGGTTAAATTCAAAATATGCGAATAAATAAGTATCAGTTAAATCAGTTTAGACATCAAAATATGTTATTGTGTACATGACAACCTAAAACAGACATAAATTTTAAAAAGGAATTTAAATAAAATAAATAAATTTTGCTATTAAAATTTACTTAATACAAAATATTATAAAATAATAATTA